TCTCCTTTCCTTTAATAAGGATACTAAGAAATTGTTCGTGAATATGAGAGGATCCTATTGAAAATAAGTAGACAAAACTTATCTAAATTATTTAATGATACATGCCTTAATGTATACACACACACACACACACACACACACACATATATATATATATATATATATATATATATATATATATATATATATATATATATATATATTATGTATTTAGCCAGTATAAAGGGCGAATCTTTTTTTATTTTTTAACATATATACATTAAACGCCCGCATATTTATGTGGGTGTTTTCTGTATGCGTTTAAATTCATAAGAATGTTTTTATTTTCCGAACACGGTCAGCATGCAAATTTTACAGACATTGTGTCCAGAAAAGAAAACACTTTTAAGAACACAAGAAAAATTAAATAAAAGGCTTAATCACAGTAATTTGTCTTTCGTCTTTAACAGAACACACACACACACACATATCTAGATCTATAAAAAAATATATATCTAGATCTGTTAAATAAATCAACAGAAAGAGAAGCTAAATAGCTGATACTCCTACTTAACTATGAGCCCCATTTGAAGATCTGTTAAAATTAAACTCACTACATGTTATTCGTTGTATTTACATTGAATTGCTATATTTTACAACACTTTGCCTTTAAAGTTTTTATTATTAGCCGTAAGAAGACACTTTCTGTCGTAATTTTACATTCACAAGTAGAAAAATAATGATCATTTTGCAACGTATGTTTTATTATTGCTAATCAATATTATTTTTTGATGTTTTATACACATATATATTTGATGTTCTAGTTTCTATAAAAACGACAATGGTAACTATTGAAATTAAACATAAGAAATAAATAAATTTTTAAGACACCTGTCTTAGCCAAGAATACACATTAAAAAAAATTGGCAGTTAACTGGTTAATTAGAAATGAATTACATAAAACTGAATCTCAATTGTACCCCATTTTTATCAAACATTTTAGTGTTGTCAAGCTCCAGGAAATTAATCCCGAGGAGCGAAATGGGCATAAAAATGGAGTTTCAGTTTTGTGTAATTCCTATATATATATATATATATATATATATATATATATATATATATATATATATATGTATTATGTATTTAGGGCAGCAATCCTTGTTTTATGCAAGCTTCATTAAATATCGTAGATAAATTATACAAAAGCTGTCAAATGTTTTATTTTTCCAAGCGCTTTCGGCTGTACATTTAGCCACTTTTAAAGATGAATTATATTTACTGTTAACTGAAAATGGATTGTTGTATGTATATATTTAGTATTATAGAATATGTTATTTTGAAAACACGGTCAACATATTGCATCCATGTTCATAGTTGATTTTATTTGTTTTTATTAACAAGGATTCCATTATTTTTAGCCCGATATCTTCTTTCTCTCTTCCCAAGGAATTGTCATAGAAAATAATAAACTTAGAAAACAAAGTGTAATTAGTTAGAATGTGAAACTTAAACATCACTGAAAGCCATACTATAATATCTGCAATTATGTCGTTCTCGCTAGATGTTAATGAACATTACATCAATTTTATACGGATCGAAAGAATAATTGGAGTCGATTATCGTACTTTTCAATCTAAATTTATGTTCGCTGGTATTTCATTTATAAAAATATATATCTAGATCTATAAAATATATATCTAGATCTGTGAAATATATATCTAGATCTATAAAAAATATATATCTAGATCTGTGAAATATATATCTAGATCTATTATAATATATCTAGATCTATGAAATATATATCTAGATCAATAAAAAATATATATCTAGATTCTGTGAAATATATATCTAGATCTATAAAAAATATATCTAGATCTGTGAAATATATATCTAGATCTATAAAAATATATATCTAGATCTGTGAAATATATATCTAGATCTATTATAATATATCTAGATCTATGAAATATATATCTAGATCAATAAAAATATATATCTAGATCTGTGAAATATATATCTAGATCTATAAAAAATATATCTAGATCTGTGAAATATATATCTAGATCTATAAAAAATATATATCTAGATCTGTGAAATATATATCTAGATCTATAAAATATATATCTAGATCTATGAAATATATATCTAGATCTATAAAATATATATATCTATATCTATGAAATATATATCTAGATCTATTAAAAATATATATCTAGATCTATAAAATATATATATCTATATCTATGAAATATATATCTAGATCTATAAAAATATATATCTAGATCTATAAAATATATATCTAAATCTATGAAATATATATCTAGATCTATAAAATGTATATCTAGATCTGTGAAATATATATCTAGATCTATAAAATATATATCTAGATCTATAAAATATATATCTAGATCTATAAAAAAATATATATCTAGATCTGTGAAATAAATCAACAGAAAGAGAAGCTAAATAGCTGATAATCCTACATAACTATGAGCCCCATTTGAGAATCTGTTAAAATTAA